GATATTAGTTTCAACATTGGTATCAGTACTGGTAGTGGCGTATACATCATATCTCTTTTGCAATATTTATAAGTTGTATTGTTGTTTGAGTAATGTGCATCACTAATTGAACGTTGTTAGTGATAAACTTGCAGGTTATTTGAAATCTATTGTGTTACTTCTCTGCTACCGTGTTTAATGTTAACTTAGTTATTTTGTAGCACATGGTGTAGTAGATTGCATTCAATGAAATAGAGTTATACTATATGTTCTAAATGATTTCACTTAATCTTGATATCGTGTTTTGTGCGCTCCACGTTTTCTTCTTTTTAATATTTAACTGAATTTTATATGTTACTACTCTGAATTAAGAGATAAAATTAATGTTTTTTTTTATTTCCTTCCATTTTGTTTTACTTGAATTGATGTTGTTATAAAGAAAGAGTCGTTTCGTAAGTTTATTTTTCTCATTTTGAAACTGACATCCGTGCAACGCACGGGTGAAATACTAGTAATAATAAATATCCTTATAAAATATAAATAAAAAATTAATTTTTTTGAATTTACATTTACTCTTAAACATTCGTGCCATACATCATTAGTTCTTTAACAATAACAATTAACATAAACAAAATAAGGCATAAACTCATATTTTCTTTTATTAAAAATCCAACTTTTATTTTGAATTATAAAAAGAAAAAAAAAGAAAAAAAAACGATTTTTAACCGATTTTTTACCGATTTTTGCCACCGAGTTTGACCCGCCTTAAAGGTTTGACCGCCTCAGACCGCCTCATACCGCCTCACAGGCAAAAAACCGATTTTTCAAACCTTTACACTAAAATCGTAAAGGTTTTGGACCGCCTCCGCCTCGGAGACCGATTAATCGGCCACCTCGGCCGATTTTTAGAACACTGCTTAATATAAATAAAAATCTCAATTATTTAAAAAATATATAAAATACGTTAAACATTTGCAAGAAAAAAATATTTTCAAGACTTAAACGTCCAACTTTTTTTTATAATAATTATTGATTTGAAAACTTATTTCAGCTACTTAAAATTTTAAATTTCAATAAAAAATTAAATTTCAATAAAAAAATATTTAAATATTTAAACGTTCAAATTATGATTCTTATTAACTTTTGAATACATTTTGTGATTCTCAAAGTAAAAAGTGGGATGATTATATAAGAGTCATATACTCATTAAAATAACTATATAAACTAAAAAATCATAATTAAAATTCGAATAATTGTTAACTTTGTATTAACTACAAATGAACATAAAGTAAAACAAAAATGAAACTAAATTCAATTTTTTTCATTCATAAATTTACAATACTGAAATAATAAAATCAAGTTGCCAATTTTTTTATTATTACATATTCATTATTTATATAATGGCTAGAAGTACAATTTGGGAATAAAAAATTTCACATCATTCAAAGTCATAGTTTTAGTGGTTTACTATTAAATTCATTAATGAGGGGGCAAGTGTTACATTTGTAACTTTAAGGGGTAAGTGTTACCAATCATATATTTTAAGGGTGCAAACTGTATTTAGCCCTATATAAATTAGTAATACATAAAAGCTATGGTGCACGGACACGGATGCGTGGACACGGCGATACGCGGATACGGATACGGTGATACGGCATTTCCAAAAAACTAGGATACGGACACGTGGGGATACGCGTAAATATAAAAAATATAGGGGTATATTTTAAAATAATAAAAATATAGGGGTACATTGATAAATTGTAAAAAATATGTATAAGTCGTCATAGCATAAGAGAACCACTCGCCCTTGTTGCTTGTGTTCTTGATCGCCGTCGCATGCTAGACTTTTAGAGTTTTGGGTGGACTCACAACGAAAACAGAGGAAATGTGTATTACAGAGAAGAAAATGCGCATTTTTTTTTATAAGGGCTCTCTCTTACAACGTAAGAGAAGTGTCCCAACTTTTTTAAAATTGTGGACACTGCCCGATACGGGTGTCCTACTTTTAGCGAAATTACGACACGGCCCGACACGGGTGTCCGTGAAGTGTCCGGGAGTGTCCGAGTGTCCAGGTATCGGATACGGGGACTCTTCACCTTCTAGAAGTGTCCGTGCAGCATAGCATAAAAGTAATTCTTAAATTACATATTACAATACTTTTTTTTATAGATCTATGAAGGCATAATAAAAATATGATTTCGTTGTCGCTTGTTTCTTGTTGAAGTTCACATCACAATCAATTTCATCCCTTACTTTTCTTATCACTTTTCTTATCATGGTTAGAACTTCTGGTATAATTTTCTCATAGCTCAACAAAAAATTGTTCAAAACCATTGTTGCTTTAAGAGCTTCCGTTCGAGAAACATGCTCTATAGTACATTGACTAATGGTATATGCTAAAAAATGTATTTATTTAAAATAACAATAACAATAATCTCCTAAATTAATAAGTTATTAATTAATGTATAAATTGATAATTATTAATTTACCGATAAGTTAATATTTCGCTAAATTAATATATAAGATTTTGATGGTCCCAACTAGGGGTGCAAGTTGGAACGGAAATTCCAATTTCCGCCATTTCCGATCCGAAAAGTTCCGATTTTGGAACAAATTTTTTCATTCCGACTTCCGAAATTCCGATTTCCGATTTCCGAATTTTTCCGATTTTTTTGGATTGGAATTGGAATTATATAAAATAAATTTGGAATTTCCGATTTCCGATCCGATTTAATTTTCGAAAGTAATTCCTAAAAATTCCGATTTTTCTCCGAAAAATACACCTATAAATATTAAATATTATATAATACTTATTTTCCGAAAAAATACACCTATGTGTTTCGTTTTAGGATTTTGACATAATGAGTTTTTGTTAGAAGTTTTATTATATATTATGCTGTGTTTATTTTTATTTATTTTTTGAATTGAAATTTAGTAGTTATTAGTTGTATTTTTATCGACGTGAATGTTCTTATTTTTGAAAAATTATGAACATTTTAGAAAATTTCCACTAAATTTTGGAATTGATTTTGTACTTCCGAAATATTTTGAAAATTTTCCGAAAAGGCTAATTTCGATCCGATCCATCCAACTTTCACCCCTATCTCAATTATATTAATTTATAGAAGTTTTTCTGTAGCTATAAAATGATTTGAGAAATAATGTTCAGATATTTTGTAATAGAACAAGAATACATATCTCTAAAAAAATCTACAAGTCAAACATTAACTGTTTTTCTATCTTTTCCAATTTCAATTCATCTCTTGCATAATCTCAACAAAACACGTTTGCTTGGATAAATAAAATATGTTTCAGAGAATCGATTCATCTATATTTTTCTCGAATCACACATAAAAGAAATTATAAACTCCTCCACATAGTTTGAGTGTGCCCTTTCACTTTCCTCATTTCAAAACTCACGAACCATACATAACTTATAGATAATTCTCTGTCGAGAAGAGAGAGATAGATTTGTCTACTAAAAGTTAGTGCGCGCGCAGAAATTATAAACTGGAGACAGAAAAAAATGCGCGCGAGAAATACTCTATACTTAGAAATCATTATATATATTTTGATTAAATATTAAAGAAAATCTCAAATTATATATTTCAAGAATATACATATATATTTATGAATGTATAAAAAAACAATATTATGTTTTTGTCTTTATATATATATATATATATATATATATATATATATATATATATATATATATATATATATATATATATATATATATATAATTTCTATTGTACCTTTTGTCCCTCTCTAATTACTATAGAATTTCCTCAAAATAAATAATTCCAAAATTCAGCAAACATAAATACTTCTAATTTGTAATATGAAGATATTATTACATTATAGAGTAAATTACACCCACCTCCAATATAATATCAAATTACGAAAACATTTCTTATGCTTGGGTACATAATTACAACAATCGGGTCCGCTTAAATATAAATCTTTTTACATGTACACCCTTATGGCAACATAATCTTTCTAAATTCCGTGGAATGTTCTCTAGTTCGTTATTTTATGCAAAAATGCAGTTTCTCATACATCACAATCTGATATTTACAAGTCAAGAAACACATCTTATTTATGAAACTCAATGGATATAAACTGAAGAATACTGCACATAACATAGAAAATTCCATTAAATTTGACACCGTAAAAATGAATATGTAAGAATATTCATCGTTGAGGAGTTGTTGTAATTACCCAACGTGAAAGATTTTTTTCCGTAATTTAACTTTCCTCGGGACGGCTGTAAATCTTTTTTTTTTTTTTTTATAATTTACCCTAGATTATATTATAGTTATTAGGGTAAATTACAAACACCCCCCTAAGGTATGGTTAAATTACAAAAACCCCCCTCTTGTTTGGATAATTACATCTACCCCCCTCAGCTATGATTTTTTCTTACACCTCCACCCTTATGGTGCCAAATTCAACATAATCATCTAGATTCCGTGGAATGTGCTCTAGTTTGTACTCGTTTTGTGTAAAAATACAGTTTCTGATGCACCACAAACTGATATATACAAGCTAAAAAACACATATTATGATCATCTTGCTTCATAATGTAGAGTTCGAACAGAATAAAACGGGTACAAAAGTGATAATATTCCATATAATCTCGAAGATTCCACTAAATTTGAAGAGTTGAGGGGGTCGTTGTAATTATCCAAACAAGAGGGGTGTTTTTGTAATTTGACCATACCTCAGGGGTGTTTGTAATTTACCCTAGTTATTATTGATAGTAGATGAGAGATTGAGCATTTTTATACAGTATAAAAGGTGGGTGGGGGAGGAGTGGGGGTATGGTCTCATAGGTCACTTTCAGAGGTAAATAAGGAGAGCTGAAAAAATGGGTTGACGTCACATCATACACTCCACGCTCTAACTTTTCGAGCGGGAAACCCATAAACAATTTGTCCCCACTTCTTTCTCTCTCTAAAACAATTCCAATTTCCTTTCAAATAAAATAAAATAAAATAAAGTGAGTAGTTTCTCTCTCTAGGTTGGCTGGTGGTTATTATTAATTTCTTTTTTCTTCTAGTAAGTGCTGTCGCTTTCACTCCTCACTTGTACCAGAATTGTTCACTGGTTTTTTTTTTTTTGGCTCTCATTTCTTTTACTTCCCCTTCACATGTTTGTGTGTGTTTTTTTTAAAAATTATTTATAGCAGTCGTGCTGCTCTCGCTCTCCTTTTTTTATTTTCTCTCACTAGCTTTCTCTCTCTAGAGCTAGGTGCAAAGCGTACTTGGGCATGGAGATCCAAAAGGGGTTTTCCATCCGGTGAGTCGTTAATTACTGTTAATTTATGTGGGTCTTCTTCTCCGCTTATTAATAATGGGTTTGGTGTGTGTCTTGTTGTGTAGAGAGTATGCTTCGACGATGAGAAGTGTAGACGTGGCCAATTCCTGGCCGTTCGATGAGGCCGCCGGCGAAGAAACTGTGAAATCGCTGCTCCCTCCGATCAATGTCAAGAAATTCACCTGGTGGCTGGATCAGCTGGCCGAATCGGCTACTACTAACAACATCAACGTTGTGGGCATGTCTGAAAACAAGAAGAAAACGAAGGCGGCGCCGCCCAAGAAGAGGTCGATTGTTGAGATTTTTGCGGCGGCGCCGCCTGTTGAGAGAGCTGCCAGCGAGGCGGAGGAGGAGGAGGAAGAGGGTTTTGACGAAGATGCCTCTTTCATTAAGTGGGGCCCCAAAGGTAAGAGAAATGACAAGAGAAAGAAGATTATTAGTAAGAAATCCGATGCAAATGCAATCTTCAAGAAAATCAAGAAGCTGAAGGTATGTGCTTTTGCTTATCTTCTAATTTATATTTTATATATATATATATATATATATATATATATATATATATATATATATATATATATAAATTAGAAGATAAGACTGAAATTGTGGTCTCTATCAAAATGGTCATGTTGATAGATTCACCGCTGAAAAAGCACTTTGAAGATGAAAGCAATAGCTTAATCATTCCCACTTTACTGTGTGTGCAAATAACACATCAAAACTTTGTTTTTTTTTTTTTTTCTAATTAAAAAAAAAAAAAAAAAAAAGGAGAATGGGGTTTTCTTGATATGAAGATTGGTACTCTTACAGCTGTCCCAGTACGTTCGGACAGAAATATATATATATATATATATATATATATATATATATATATATATATATATATATATATATATATATATATATATATATATATATATATATGTACAAATATACAGACATACA